AAAAGAAAAAAAAGAAGGCAATATGGAAATAAGAAAGCAAAGGCTAAAGTCTAAGGATAGAAAAAAAGAAAGGAAAAGAAAAAAGAAAGAAAAGAAAGAAAGAATTGAATATCAGAGCCACAAACAAAAGAAAGAAGGCAATATGGAAATAAGAAAGCAAAGGCTAAAGACTAATAAGGAATAGAAAAAAAAGAAAGAAAGAAAGATGGAAAGAAAGAAAGAAAGAAAGAAAGGGAATATCAGAGCCACAAAGAAAAGAAAGAAGGCAATATGGAAATAAGAAAGCAAAGGCTAAAGTCTGATAAGGAATAGAAAAAAAGAAAGAAAGAAAGAAAAAGAAAGAAAGAAAGAAAGAAAGAAAGAAAGAAAGAAAGAAGGGAATATCAGAGCCACAAAGAAAAGAAAGAAGGCAATATGGAAATAAGAAAGCAAAGGCAAAAGACTAATAAGGAATAGAAAAAAAAGAAAGAAGGAAAGAAAGATGGAAAGAAAGAAAGAAAAAAGAAAGAAAGAAAGAAAGAAAGAAAGAAAAAAGGGAATATCAGAGCCACAAAGAAAAGAAAGAAGGCAATATGGAAATAAGAAAGCAAAGGCTAAAGTCTGATAAGGAATAGAAAGAAAGAAAGAAAGAAAGAAAGAAAGAAAGAAGGGAATATCAGAGCCACAAAGAGAAAAAAGAAGACAATATGGAAATAAGAAAGCAAAGGCTAAAGACTGATAAGGAATAGAAAAGAAAGAAAGAAAGAAAGAAAGAAAGAAAGAAAGAAAGAAAGAAAGAAAGAAAGAAAGAAAGAAGGGAATATCAGAGCCACAAAGAAAAGAAAGAAGGCAATATGGAAATAAGAAAGCAAAGGCTAAAGTCTGATAAGGAATAGAAAAGAAAGAAAGAAAGAAAGAAAGAAAGAAAGAAAGAAAGAAAGAAAGAAGGGAATATCAGAGCCACAAAGAGAAAAAAGAAGACAATATGGAAATAAGAAAGCAAAGGCTAAAGTCTGATAAGGAATAGAAAAAAAAGAAAGAAAGAAAGAAAGAAAGAAAGAAGGGAATATCAGAGCCACAAAGAAAAAAAAGAAGACAATATGGAAATAAGAAAGCAAAGGCTAAAGACTGATAAGGAATAGAAAAGAAAGAAAGAAAGAAAGAAAGAAAGAAAGAAAGAAAGAAAAAAGAAAGAAAGGGAATATCAGAGCCACAAAGAAAAGAAAGAAGGCAATATGGAAATAAGAAAGCAAAGGCTAAAGTCTGATAAGGAATAGAAAAAGAAAGAAAGAAAGAAAGAAAGAAAGAAAGAAAGAAAGAAGGGAATATCAGAGCCACAAAGAAAAGAAAGAAGGCAATATGGAAATAAGAAAGCAAAGGCTAAAGTCTGATAAGGAATAGAAAAGAAAGAAAGAAAAAAGAAAGAAAGAAAGAAAGAAAGAAGGGAAAAAAGAAAGAACAAAAGAAAAGGAAAGAAAAAATGGAAATAAGAAAGAAAAAAGAAAGAAAGGAAAAGAAAAAAAAAGAAAGAAAGAAAGAAAGAAAGAAAAGAAAGGGAATATCAGAAACAAAGAAAAAAAAGAAATATGGAAATAAGAAAGCAAAGGCAAAAGTCTAATAAGGAATAGAAAAAAAGAAAGAAGGAAAAAAGAAAGAAAGAAAGAAAGAAAGAAAGAAAGGAAATATCAGAGCCACAAAGAAAAAAAAGAAGGCAATATGGAAATAAGAAAGCAAAGGCTAAAGTCTGATAAGGAAAAGAAAAAAAAAAAGAAAGAAAGAAAAGAAAGAAAGAAAAGAAAGAAAGAAAGAAAGAAAGAAGGAATATCAGAGCCACAAAAGAAAAGAAAGAAGGCAATATGGAAATAAGAAAGCAAAGGCAAAAGACTAATAAGGAATAGAAAAAAAAGAAAGAAGGAAAGAAAAGAAAGAAAGAAAGAAAGAAAGAAAGAAAGAAAGAAAGAAGGGAATATCAGAGCCACAAAGAAAAGAAAGAAGGCAATATGGAAATAAGAAAGCAAAGGCTAAAGTCTGATAAGGAATAGAAAAGAAAGAAAGAAAGAAAGAAAGAAAGAAAGAAGGGAAATAAGAAACAAAGAAAAAGAAAGAAGGCAAATGGAAATAAGAAAACAAAGGGCAAAGACTGATAAGAATAGAAAAAAAGAAAAAAAGAAAGAAAAAGAAAGAAAGAAAGAAAGAAAGAAAGGAATATCAGAGCCACAAAGAAAAGAAAGAAGGCAATATGGAAATAAGAAAGCAAAAGAAAAGTCTGAAAGAAAGAAAAGAAAGAAAGAAAAGAAAAGAAATAAGAAGAAAAGAAAAAAAGAAAGAAATAAAGAAAGAAAGGAATAGAAAATAAGAGAGAAACAAAGAAAAAAAAGAAGAAAATATGGAAATAAGAAAGAAAAGAAAACAAAAAAAGAAAGAAAGAATGGAAAAAAGAAAAAGGAAAAAGAAAGAAAAGAAAAAAGAAAGAAAAAAAGAAAGAAAGAAAGAAAGAAAAGGGAATATCAGAGCCACAAAGAAAAGAAAGAAGGCAATATGGAAATAAGAAAGCAAAGGCTAAAGTCTGATAAGGAATAGAAAAGAAAGAAAGAAAGAAAGAAAGAAAGAAAGAAAGAAAGAAAGAAAGAAAGAAAGAAAAGAAAGAAAAGAAGGGAATATCAGAGCCAGAAAAAGAAAAAAGAAAGAAAAGGAAATATGGAAAGAAAGAAAAAAGAAAAAAAAGAAAAGAAAGAAGGAAAATAAGAAAGAAAGAAAGAAAAAGGCTAAATAAGAGAAAGAAAAGAAAGAAGGAAATGGAAAGAAAGAAAGAAAGGAAAGAAAAAAAAGAAAGAAAAGAAAGAAAGAAAAGGAAAGAAAGAAAGAAGGAAATAAAGAAACAAAAAGAAAAGAAAGAAGGCAATATGGAAATAAGAAAGCAAAGGCTAAAAAAGTCTGATAAGGAAAAGAAGAAAAGAAAGAAAGAAAGAAAGAAAGAAAGAAAGAAAAAAGAGCCACAAAGAAAAGAAAGAAGGCAATATGGAAATAAGAAAGCAAAGGCAAAAGTCTGAGGAAAGAAAAAAAAAAGAAAGAAAAGAAAGAAAGAAAAAGAAAGAAAGAAAGAAAAAAGGAAATATCAGAGCCACAAAGAAAAGAAAGAAATGGAAAAAGCAAAAAAGACTGATAAGGAAAGAAAAGAAAGAAAGAAAGAAAGAAAGAAAGAAGGGAAATAAAGAGCCACAAAGAAAAAAAAAGAAGACAATATGGAAATAAGAAAGCAAAGGCTAAAGTCTGATAAGGAATAGAAAAGAAAGAAAAGAAAGAAAGAAAGAAAGAAAGAAGGAATATCAGAGCCACAAAGAAAAAAAGAAGGCAATATGGAAATAAGAAAGCAAAGGCAAAAAGACTGAAAGTCTGAAAAGGAAAAGAAAAAAAGAAAGAAAGAAAGAAAGAAAGAAAGAAAGAAAGAAAGGAAAGGGAATATCAGAGCCACAAAGAAAAAAAGAAGGCAATATGGAAATAAGAAAGCAAAGGCTAAAGTCTGATAAGGAATAGAAAAAAAAGAAAGAAAGAAAAGAAAGAAAGAAAGAAAAGAAAGAAAGAAAGAAAATAAAGAAGAAAAGAAAAAAGAAGGCAATATGGAAATAAGAAAGAAGGCAAAGTCTGATAAGGAATAGAAAAAAGAAAGAAAGAAAAGAAAGAAAGAAAGAAGGAAAAGAAAGAAAGAAAAAATCAGAGCCATAAGGAAAAGAAAGAAAGAAAGGAAATAAGAAAGAAAGAAAGAAAGGAAAGAAGAAAAAAGAAAGAAAGAAAGAAAGAAAGAAGGGAATATCAGAGCCACAAAGAAAAGAAAGAAGGCAATATGGAAATAAGAAAGCAAAGGGCTAAAGTCTGATAAGGAAAGTCTGAAAGAAAGAAGAAAAGAAAGAAAGAAAAAGAAAGAAAGAAAGAAAGAAGGAATATCAGAGCCACAAAGAAAAGAAAGAAGGCAATATGGAAATAAGAAAGCAAAGGCTAAAGTCTGATAAGGAATAGAAAAGAAAAAAGAAAAAGAAAGAAAGAAAGAAAGAAAGAAAGAAAGAAAGAAGGGAATATCAGAGCCACAAAGAAAAGAAAGAAGGAAATATGGAAATAAGAAAGCAAAAGGAAAGAAAGAAAAATAAGAAAGAAAGAGAAAGAAAGAAAAGAAAGCCACAAAAGAAAAGAAAGAAAGAATGGAAGAAAAAGCAAAGGCAAAAGAGAAAGAAAGAAAAGAAAGAAAGAAAAGAAAGAAAGAAAGAAAGAAAGAAAGAAAGGGAATATCAGAGCCACAAAGAAAAGAAAGAAGGCAATATGGAAATAAGAAAGCAAAGGCTAAAAGGAAAGAAAAGAAAAAAGAAAGAAAGAAAGAAAGAAAAGAAAAAAGGGAATATCAGAGCCACAAAGAAAAAAAAGAAGGAAATATGGAAAAATAAGAAAGCAAAGGAATAGAAAAAAAAAGTCTGATAAGGAATAAAAAAGAAAAGAAAGAAAGAAAGAAAGAAAGAAAGAAAGAAGGGAATATCAGAGCCACAAAGAAAAGAAAGAAGGCAATATGGAAATAAGAAAGCAAAGGCTAAAGTCTGATAAGGAATAGAAAAGAAAGAAAGAAAGAAAGAAAGAAAGAAAGAAAGAAGGGAATATCAGAGCCACAAAAAGAAAAAAGAAATGGAAATAAGAAAGCAAAGGCTAAAGTCTGATAAGGAAAGAAAAAAGAAAGAAAAGAAAGAAAGAAAGAAAGAAAAGAAAGAAGGAAAAGAGAAAGAAAGAAAAAAAGAAAGAAAGAAAAGAAAGAAAGAAAAGGAAAAGAAATAAGGAAAAAAGAAAGAAAAGAAAGAAAGAAAGAAAGAAAGAAAGAAAGAAAAAAAGAAAAGAAAAGAAAGAAAGAAAGAAACAAAGAAAGATGGAAATAAGAAAGCAAAAGAAAGAAGGCAATATGGAAATAAGAAAGCAAAGGCTAAAGTCTGATAAGGAATAGAAAAGAAAGAAAGAAAGAAAGAAAGAAATAAAGAAAGAAGGGAATATCAGAGCCACAAAGAAAAGAAAGAAGGCATTATGGAAATAAGAAAGCAAAGGCTAAAGTCTGATAAGGAATAGAAAAGAAAGAAAGAAAGAAAGAAATAAAGAAAGAAGGGAAGAAAGAAAGAAAGAATGGAAATAAGAAACAAAAGAGAAAAAAGAAAAGAAAAAGAAAAGATGGAAATAAGAAAGAAAATGCTAAAGAACTGATAAGGAATAGAAAAAAGAAAGAAAGAAAGAAAGAAAGAAAGAAAGAAAGAAAGAAGGGAAATATCAGAGCCACAAAGAAAAGAAAGAAGGCAATATGGAAATAAGAAAGCAAAGGCTAAAGTCTGATAAGGAATAGAAAAAAGAAAGAAAGAAAAGAAAGAAAGAAAGAAAGAAAGAAAGAAAGAAAGAAAGAAGGGAATATCAGAGCCACAAAGAGAAAAAAGAAGACAATATGGAAATAAGAAAGCAAAGGCAAAAGACTGATAAGGAATAGAAAAGAAAAAAAAGAAAGAAAGAAAAAAAGAAAGAAAAGAAAGAAAAAGAAAGGGAAATATCAGAGCCACAAAGAAAAGAAAAGAAGGCAATATGGAAATAAGAAAGCAAAGGCAAAAGTCTGATAAGGAATAGAAAAGAAAGAAAGAAAGAAAGAAAGAGAAAGAAAGAAAGAAAGAAAGAAGGAAATCAGAGCCACAAAGAAAAAAGAAGGCAATATGGAAATAAGAAAGCAAAGGCAAAAGTCTGAAATAAGAAAGAAAAAAGAAAGTCTGAAAGAAAGAAAGAAAGAAAGAAAGAAAGAAAGAAAGAAAGAAAGAAGGAAATATCAGAGCCACAAAGAGAAAAAAAAGAAGGCAATATGGAAATAAGAAAGCAAAGGCTAAAGTCTGATAAGGAAGAAAAAAAGAAAGAAAGAAAGAAAGAAAGAAAAAGAAAGAAAGAAAGAAGGAATATCAGAGCCACAAAGAAAAAAAAAGAAGGCAATATGGAAATAAGAAAGCAAAGGATAAAAGTCTGAGAAAGAAATAAAAGAAAGAAAGAAAGAAAAAAAAAAATGGAAAGAAAGAAAGAAAAATGAATAGAAAGAAAGAAAAAAAAGAAAAAAAAGAAAAAAAGAAAGAAAAAGAAAGAAAGAAAAAAAAGAAAGGAAAAAAGAAAGAAGGAATATCAGAAAGGAAAGAAAGAGAAAATATGGAAAAAGGCTAAAGAAAAAAGAAATAAGGAAAAGAAAAAAAGAAAAAGAAAAGAAAGAAAGAAAGAAAGAAAGAAAGAAAAGAAGGGAAATATCAGAGCCACAAAGAAAAGAAAGAAGGCAATATGGAAATAAGAAAGCAAAGGCTAAAGTCTGATAAGGAAGGAAAAGAAAGAAAAAGAAAGAAAGAAAAAAAGAAAGAAAGAAAAAAAAAGAAAGAAAGAAAGGAAAGAGAAGGGAAAAGAAAGAAAGAAAAGAAAGAACAAATCAGAGCCACAAAGAAAGAAAGAAGGCAATATGGAAATAAGAAAGCAAAGAAAAATAAAGTCTGAAAGAAAGAAAATAAAAAAGAAAGAAAGAAAGAAAAAGAAAGAAAAAAGAAAGAAAGAAAAGGGAATATCAGAGCCACAAAGAAAAAGAAAGAAGGCAATATGGAAATAAGAAAGCAAAGGCTAAAACTGATCTGAGAAAAAAGGAAAAGAAAAGAAAGAAGACAATATGGAAAAAGAAAGCAAAAAGACTAAAGAAAGAAAAGAAAGAAAAGAAAGAAAAAAAGAAAGAAAGAAAGGGAATATCAGAGCCACAAAGAAAAGAAAGAAGGCAATATGGAAATAAGAAAGCAAAGGCTAAAGTCTGATAAGGAAAAAAAAAGAAAAGAAAGCAAGAAAGAAAGAAAGCAAGAAAGAAAGAAAGAAAGAAAGAAAGAAAAAGAAAGAAAGAAAAAAAAATATGGAAAAAGAAAGAAAGGCAAAAAAAGAAAAAAAAAGAAAAAGAAAGATGGAAAGAAAGAAAGGAAAGAAAAAAAGAAGGGAATATCAAGAAAAAGAAAAGAAAGAAGGCAATATGGAAATAAGAAAGCAAAGGCTAAAGTCTGATAAGGAATAGAAAAGAAAGAAAGAAAGAAAGATGGAAAGAAAGAAGGAAATCAGAGCCACAAAAAAAAGAAAGAAGGCATTATGGAAATAAGAAAGCAAAAGGCTAAAGTCTGATAAGGAATAGAAAAAAGAAAGAAAGAAAAAGAAAGAAAAGAAAGAAAGAAAGAAAGAAAGAAAGAAAGAAGGGAATAAAGAGCCACAAAGAAAAAAAGAAGACAATATGGAAATAAGAAAGCAAAGGCAAAAGTCTGATAAGGAATAGAAAAAGAAAGAAAAAGAAAGATGGAAAGATAGAAAGAAAGAAAGAAAGAAAGAAAGAAAAAAAGGGAATATCAGAGCCACAAAGAAAAGAAAGAAGGCAATATGGAAATAAGAAAGCAAAGGCTAAAGTCTGATAAGGAATAGAAAAGAAAGAAAGAAAGAAAGAAAGATGGAAAGAAAGAAAGAAAGAAAGAAAGAAAGGGGAATATCAGAGCCACAAAGAAAAAAAAGAAGGCAATATGGAAATAAGAAAGCAAAGGCTAAAAGTCTGATAAGGAATAGAAAAGAAAGAAAGAACGAAAGAAAGAAGAAAGAAAGAAAGAAAAGAAAGAAAAGAAAAGAAAGAAAGAAAAGAAGGGAAATCAGAGCCACAAAGAAAAAGAAAGAAGGCAATATGGAAATAAGAAAGCAAAGAAAGAAAGACTGAAAGGAATAGAAAAAATGAAAGAAAGAAAGAAAGAAAGAAAGAAAGAAGGAATATCAGAGCCACAAAGAAAAGAAAGAAGGCATTATGGAAATAAGAAAGCAAAGGCTAAAGTCTGATAAGAAATAGAAAAGAAAGAAAGAAAGAAAAGAAAAAGAAAGAAAGAAAGAAAGAAAGAAAGAAAGAAAGAAAAGAAAGAAGAAGGAATATCAGAGGAACAAAGAAAAAAAAGAAGACAATATGGAAATAAGAAAGGAAAAGGAAAAAGAAATAAGGAATAGAAAAAAGAAAGAAGGAAAGAAAGAAAGAAAGAAAGAAAGAAAAAAAAGAAAGAAAAAAAAGGGAATATCAGAGCCACAAAGAAAAGAAAGAAGGCAATATGGAAATAAGAAAGCAAAAGCAAAAAGTCTGATAAGGAAAGAAAAGAAAGAAAAAGGAAAGAAAAAAGAAAGAAAGAAAAAAGAAAGAAAAAGAATGAAAGAAAGAAAGAAGGGAATATCAGAGCCACAAAGAAAAAAGAAAGAAGGCAATATGGAAATAAGAAAGCAAAGGAAAAAAGTCTGATAAGGAATAGAAAAGAAAGAAAGAAAGAAAGAAAAGAAGGGAAATATCAGAGCCACAAAGAAAAGAAAGAAGAAAGCAATATGGAAATAAGAAAGCAAAAGGCAAAAAGAAATAAGGAAGAAAAAAAAAAAAGAAAGAAAAAAAAGAAAAGAAAGAAAGAAAGAAAGAAAGAAAGAAAGAAAGAAAGAAAAAAGGGAATATCAGAGCCACAAAGAAAAGAAAGAAGACAATATGGAAATAAGAAAACAAAGGCAAAAGACTAATAAGGAATAGAAAAAAAGAAAGAAGGAAAGAAAGATGGAAAGAAAGAAAGAAAAGAAAGAAAGAAAGAAAGAGAAAAAGGGAATATCAGAGCCACAAAGAAAAGAAAGAAGGCAATATGGAAATAAGAAAGCAAAGGCTAAAGTCTGATAAGGAATAGAAAAAAAAGAAAGAAAGAAAGATGGAAAGAAAGAAAGAAAGAAAGAAAGAAAGAAAGAAGGGAATATCAGAGCCACAAAGAGAAAAAAGAAGACAATATGGAAATAAGAAAGCAAAGGCAAAAGACTAATAAGGAATAGAAAAAAAAGAAAGAAGGAAAGAAAGATGGAAAGAAAGAAAGAAAGAAAGAAAGAAAGAAAGAAAGAAAGAAAGGGAATATCAGAGCCACAAAGAAAAGAAAGAAGGCAATATGGAAATAAGAAAGCAAAGGCTAAAGTCTGATAAGGAATAGAAAGAAAGAAAGAAAGAAAGAAAGAAAGAAAGAAGGGAATATCAGAGCCACAAAGAAAAGAAAGAAGGCATTATGGAAATAAGAAAGCAAAGGCTAAAGTCTGATAAGGAATAGAAAAGAAAGAAAGAAAGAAAGAAAGATGGAAAGAAAGAAAGAAAAAAGAAAGAAAGAAAGAAAGAAAGAAAGAAAGAAAGAAAGAAAGAAAGAAGGGAATATCAGAGCCACAAAGAAAAGAAAGAAGGCAATATGGAAATAAGAAAGCAAAGAAAAAGACTGATAAGGAAAGAAAAGAAAGAAAGAAAAAAAGAAAGAATGGAAATATCAGAGCCAAAAAAGAAAAGAAAGAAGGCAATATGGAAATAAGAAAGAAAAAGCCACAAAGTCTGATAAAGAATAGAAAAGAAAAGAAAGAAAAGAAAGAAAGAAAGAAAGAAGGAAATATGGAAACAAGAACCAAAGAATGAATAGAAAAGAAAGAAAGAAAAGAAAAAAGAAAGAAAGAAAGAAAGAAAGAAAGAAAGAAAAAAAAAAAAAAGAAAGAAGGGAATATCAGAGCCCCAAAGAAAAGAAAGAAGGCTATATGGAAATAAGAAAGCAAAGGCTAATGTCTGATAAGGAATAGAAAAGAAAGTAAGTAATAAAGAAATAAGAGAGAGAGAGAGAGAGAGAATGCTTCTGGCCATAAAGAAAAGAAAGGTAATATATCCATAATATCACTTAATAAATCTTGACTGTTTTCTCTTTTGTAAGTTTTTGATATCCAGCTGTCCTGTAACAAGGTATGTCAACCAAAATTCAATCAATGTTTAATTAACAATACATCAAAAACAGTTCTGTTAAAATAAAATGACTCTATTTTCTAAACTTGCAACTACTGCAATAATTACTGTCAAGCTATTTTCAGGTAATAGCAAATTTCTCACTGATTTTTCAAGTTATCGAGAACTGAATTCTCTTTATTTGTATTTCAATATTATATTTTGATTACAAGTAAATTAATTCCATATATAATATCATCTGTCAGTAACACTTGAAATAGTTCCTAACCATTTCTTCTTTGATTATCTTTGTAATTTTCAAAGTTTTCCTCATAATATATGATATACATACAAGGGATTGCTGAATAGTTCTTGACTTGACCTTCTTCCCAACATATGACCAAACATCTGCACTATTTACATTATTTGAACTATTGTCCTCATCTTTGTCACCCTATTTATTACGTTTTGGTCATTGTACGTTCAGGCCTTCTTCAGGTGGTTGGAATGTTGAACTGAACCCTTTATTTTGCTCACTGGGGTTGACTGTTCCACGTGTCATGTCTAATGGATGTCAGTTATCAGTTATCTCCTGCTTAATTGCCTCTCCAAGTTCTCCACTGCCTCAACCAGGTATTGAACTCACACTTTTTGTGTCCTGTCCCTGTATCTAACTAACACCTTTATCCACTGTGCCATGTGTCCTTGCGGACATCTCTTGTATGAATTTCTTGTTATTATAACCTAGTGGCTTCAGCAACCATTTTTTACCAGTGGTCATATTGCAATTTTTGCTGTTATCATTGCATGTTTTTTACCAGAGCTCATATTGCCAATCAAGCATAGAAATGAATACAAATATGGCTACCAGCAATAAGGAGTGCCAGATAAAAGCGATAATAACAACAAAAATTGCAATTTCTGAGTAAACCTGCTCAGTAACATTTGTGCTTGTTCAACAACTACTGAGCCCAACTATACTGAGAGAACCTTAGTTACAGTTTCTGGGAGAGAGAGCATAATCTGCATGATCAGCAGTTTGAATAATGCCAGTACACTCTTGTCACCTTGTGCTAGTACACCTTCTGAACAATTTTCTACATCCAATTTAATTTGCAAGGCTTAGGTCAACTTATGGTATATTTTCTGGCATTTTCCAACAGTGCTGTATGCTGGAATTGCCTCTCCCGTTCAATAACATCAAGAAATCTAACAAATCTACTATGGTGTGTTTGAAACAGTCTAACTATAGTAAAATCTTTTAAAAAATATATTTGCATCAAACATCTTTTTTTGAAGTTGAATTCACCCCAAGCAAGGCATTAAAAGCTGCTACGCTACAAGGGGTTACTGGGCATAAAATAATTAGAAAACAAAAACATTATTAGGGATCAAGTACAATAGAAAAGTGATTGGGAAGCCAGTAGATAACAGCTGACATTGCATTTAAATATTTGAAGATCAAAGTTGGCTGGAAAGCATGAAGCCAGAAGCATATTCTACAAGTGAGAAGTGCAAGAAAACAAACATAGAAATCATGGTAAATTGATGAGACTAAGCTGCCAATCTTGTACTGCACTTAAATTCATAAAGTCTAGCCGTCCTGGGTATGATGATAAACTACATCAGCATCCTGGGTAAAACGATAAACTACGTCCAGCAGCAAGCCCTCTGATCAGGAGGTTTTGAGGTCATGGAACCACCTCTTAATTCCTGGTGTTCCCAGATCCACCCTGACTCAGGGTGGTAGCACCTGTTAGGGTCCCAGCTATGGACAAATATTTAGCCAAGGAAACTGGGGTAAAAATACTATGAAAGTGTAAAATAGGTTTTAATACCAGAAATACTTTTTAAAAATTATTACCAGCAATAAACTTTTGAAGAAAAAAAACTATTACAAGCAATACATTTTTTTAAAAAAAACCTTAACAAGCAATACTTTTTTGAAAAAAACTATCACAAGCAATACATTATTGAAAAAAAATGTATTACTAATGATACATTTTAAAAAAAAATATTACCAGCAAATCATTTTTTGAAAAAAATATTACCAGCAATAAATTTTTGAAGGAAAAATATTACCAGAAATAGATTTTTAACAAAACAAAATGTTACCAGCAATAAAAATTCTGTTGGCATTAAATAACCCATTGAGGTTGATATGCCGTAAAACAAAACAAAACAAATCATAAAGTCTAGGCACATTAGCAAAAAGCTCATCCAAACTATTACCATGAAAGTATTTATAGAAAATACACAGGAATGAAACCTTATGGCAGTAGGAAAGTGACTTAAACCAGGTTAGGATCAATAATATTGTTGATTCTTCTCTGGATTTTATCAAGAATCTCTAAACATATAGCAGAAGCACCAGACCATATATAGCAGCAATATTCTAAGCATGTATGAATGGTAGAATTATAGATATCTATAATTCTACCATATCTTGGTATGTAAGATAGATTCTGGAGAGAGAAATAGCATGATATACATTAAGAAACTAAAATGAAAACATACATTACACATATTATCCTATTCTACTAGCAATGTTTTCTTTATTTCCTGATTGTAGGTGTGTGGCTGAATGGTTATAATATTAATGTCCCAGACATGAGATCTGAGATCGGATCTCACCATAGCTGGTTTATCAGGGAAGTCATTGTTTGATAGTATCTACCTGGGGTGATGATCCTAGCATACAGCAATTTGGAGGAAGTACCTGAAAATGACACCACAGACTGACCCAAGTCTTGTGAGTGAAATTGGGTAGATGGATCTGTTCAAAATCTGTTGATGGTTGTGCTAGCAGGGTCACAAGTCACTGAGGGTTTGAGCATACTGATCTTGCTCAAAACTGTTGATCATGCCACATTATACACTCTCCCCTAGAAACTGTAACTAAGGCCCACTTAGCATAATTACAGTATAAATCATAGATTGGTTCTGTGGGTGTTGAAAAAAATATGTGCCTGAGCAAGTGTCTGCAACAAGGATTAGCTAAAATAAAATTATTTACAATGTTTTTTGTTTTTCTATAATGAAATCAGTATCTATATATTTATAATAAAGCAAAAGTGGTGGTAGAATAAATTTATTTTTTAATTTTTTGAGATTCCTTAATTGAAAATAAGGAAAGAGGTAAGATTTTACAAGTACCAGGTAATTGACTTAGAAGAGAGAATTTACATTAAAATAAATAGAGACCAATTGTTTTAAATATAGAACTCATGATAGGATCTAGCTAAGTTGAATTGGAAAGGTCTGTAGTGAACAAAACAAGATCTAGATTTAAAATTCAAATACTAAGCACTGACTCATTGATTTTGTTAGAAATTAAAAAGACTTGAATTTACAAACATTGAAAGTGAATCCAAAACAAAACCTATAAAATTTCACACCATGATGCAAAGTGTTTTTCAGCCAATAGAAAACTAGGAAACATTTAAAAATAAAATTCAATTCTCAGAAACAAATTTTTTTATGGACCTTTTCATGAGATGACGTGAAGTTTGTTCATCATCCAATAGAAAGGCCCAAATCATATCCGGGAGTGAATTCCCAAATGACCTTTTCAAGCCCCAGAAACAAAATAAAAGACGGGCAAGTCCGCCTGCCACCAGAGAGAAGGAGACAAGCGTATTAACACATCTCTAGACAAATGTCAAGTGATTGTTATTATTATCTCTACCTTTCTTCCTCACCTCTTTTATACTTGATAAACGAACAGAACATTTTAAGACTGAGCGATTACTTCAAAGACATTCCTACCCTACAATAACACTCATACATACATCCACACATACGTTCCTGCCTATGTACACATAAACTCATTCTTGCAAGGACTTCTATGAACATTTTGATGACCTTGTATCAACCAAAATAGATTAATTTTATTTGTAGAGACCTTTATTGATTTATATGTATATAAATCTGTTATTTCACCTTACAATTTGATTTTATTGTTTTATACCCCTCTTATGGTGGGTTATCTAACTAACAAGGCCAAATCAAACTAATCTGTTTCAACACTCATACATTTCACTATAACTGATAACCCACTATAGGTCAAAGGTTACTTTATATTAAAACACTCAAAAGTTATGGTCAGGCAAAGACAGGGAAAATAGTTAATAACAGGCATTATTTGATTGGTTGGCTAATTTGAAAGTTTGGGTTTGGCATGATAAATAATGAAACAAAATATTTTTTCTAAGTGATTACCAAGGAGTTGAGTTTAAAGATTAAGTTTAGGTTCAAAATCATAGCATTGGAATTTCATTCCAGTGATCAGTGAAAGCCTTTTAGGGCAGCCTTATAAAATATATAATTTATGGAAGCTTTACAAATTGTATATAGACAAGATGCATGGCTGGCACAAGTTATTACTAAATCACTCTGCCATCAAATAAAATCTTCATTTACTTTAAAGGGAAATTATACTGAACAATTTAACTATATTATGATGTAATATGTTATACAGGGCAGTAGTTTTAATATGATTTTCAATAAACAATGCAAATTTAAAACATTTTGTCTCATAATTTATGCCCAGTAGTATTATGGTGTTATATACACTTTTATCTATTTTTTGTTTTTGTTAATTATGATCTAACGAATCTTATTCATTGAGAAGACATTTTTGTAATCTTTTAAAATTTTTTTACAGTTTTTACTTATCAACTACAGTAGAGAAAATTATATATCTTATTTGTGGTGATTCATAACTCAAATTCTAGTTTGAATATATTTTCCATTCAATGTTTTGTGATGTCAACAAATACTCGTCACTTTTGTAATTCTTGCAGTAATAGAGAATTTGTAACTGCATATACAACTATATTACAATGTTGGTGTCAGATGCCTTTGAATAGCACTCACACTAATAGTATTTTTTTTAAGCATTTCACCCCAAGCAAGGTGGGAAG